CCACATAAGCAGGGTCCACGTAAGAGAGTCCACGTAGGGGGCTCCACGTAGGGGGGTCCACATAAGCAGGGTCCACGTAGGAGAGTCCACGTAGGGGGTCCACATAACCAGGGTCCACGTAGGAGAGTCCGATAGGTCCACGCGAAAGTTTACTTAGTGAGTTCACCTAGGTAGGGTCCATGTATGGGGGGTCTAGGCAAGGGGCAGGAGGGTCCATGTAAGGAGGGCCATAATGCCAGGCTGCGCAAAAGGAAAGTTGTTGTGAGACTATCTACCTACGGAGCTAGGTCCAAGTAAGAGGGTCCACGCAAGTAGGGTCCATGTAAGAGTTTTAGATATGGGGGCGTGACGTATGTAAGCAGGGGGCATGTAAGGAAAGGCACCAAACGAAGGTCGACTGATAAGAGGGTCCACGCAGTTCTCTTGAGGGCAGCCAAATGCCTCGGCATTCAACCAATACCTGCTTTCTAGTTCACAGCCAAGAGAAGATTCTGTTGAGCTTGACCCTAGTCCGAATTGGTGAAATGATTCAGGAAATGCCTTTCCGCATGTGTTTTCCGCATGTTTTAATGGCTGGGCGGCCCCAGCAGATCCTGCACGGAGGTACACTAAAATACCTGTTCGGCTATATTAAAATCCGCATATTTTATTGTAGTAACCGTATTTTCTGGGGGTGTACAATGGAGTACTTGTACATGCATTGGACATCGTTGGATTTATGTGGAGTGGTTTATTTCAGTGTAACCAGTAGTCAAATTGAACTGCGTATTTACATGTCAGATTGGATTACATCAGTTCAACAGATAGATACAGAAAGACAGACAGATAGATAGATAAATAGATCTAGATATAGATATTAACATAGTATAGTTATATCAAGATAGATAGGGCTCATGGGGGATCATACGGGGCCGTCACGCCTCGGAAGCAAAGGACCAAGGCAACACCCGATCAAGGCGGAGGACCAAAGGATCCAACCAAACCCGCACCGCACCGCCAGTTATTTTTTGCTCCACCAAAGTGAGATCTCAGCACCCAAACGTCTAAATATGTCTCAACCCAAATTGGTTCAATTCGAGAGTTTGGAGGAAGATTTCGTTGACCAGACGACGGTTTGGCCCGTTTGGTGAGCCAGGCCGCCGTTCGACCCTGCTCTCCTCGGTGCTTTACTGCTGGGTGGCGGCGCTGATGCCAGCGAGGCATGCCGCAGGGGGGCCTCAGAGGGGTTTCTGCTCTCTCCGGTGGGGGTGAAGATCAAGTCCGTGGCGCTGCAGAGGGGAGAGGAGGCTATAGCTATTTTGCGCCCATCAAATGATATTCTGCTATTCTATTCCCATGTTTAGGAAGTTTCACATCTTATCATCTTCCAACTACTTTCTGATGAAATTGGACCAATTTCAATCATTTTCGCGAGTGCGGCTAACCTTCCAGGCAAGGAAGGTCAGCGCACTCATCATGAGCAGCTATTTCTTGCATGATTTGGATGCGACCCAGACAGAGAGAGAGAGAGAGAGAGCGAGAGCGAGAGCGAGCGAGCATAAACCCTGCGTGTTGGTTACATGGTTGCTCTAGATTTGACATTGACATGGGCCCATGTTGTTCTATGTTGTTCTCCTATGTTTCTTTCACTATTATTCGCCACAACTTCCACATTCTCCAGCATCAGCAGCTGTCTTGGCCCAGCTCGGCTGATCGGCCTCCAGCGCGTTTGCGGGGGGCTGGCGAATGCCGAATCACGGCTTCGAGCACTCGGGCATCCTTCGACATGGAGTCAGGCGTTGCGGGCCGAGAGCGCACCGGGCCACTGGGCTGTGAACGCTGGGGAACAATCTGGAGGGAATGTGGATGAATTTTAAGTCATCGAATCAAGAGCGAAACTGTTGGTAGATCGATGTGAGCCACTTGTCTAAGGTGGGAGGTTTCAAGTTAGAGGATGTTGGAGGTAAGCAGGAATACAGTAGAAGACCCACTTCAAAGTTCAAAGGATTGATTCCAAGCGTATTTGCTTAGACTTTGTCCCTTCAAGCGCTCTAGCGGAAGGGTTCAATCCCAGTCGCGGTAGCTGAAGGACCTACAGATCCACCAGTCCATCATGGGCGGTTTCTTGACCGTCCTTAAGTAGGCTTTCTTACCCAGACGCTCCAAACAGCCCTTGGGTCCCTCAAAACCATAGGGTTTTGAGGGTCCGGACCCCTCCATATGAGGGTGCAGGAGCGTCTGGGTAGATCCAAAGCCTTGTATATTAGCTCGTGGGGGGTTCCAGATTCGACCCCCCGAGCCATGTTTGGGGTCAAGCAGGAGAGGCAAGACAAGGTTGGAACCTTGCTCTTGACCCCCTGATCCACATGTTGCATCCACATGCAGGACCCTTTTCAGAAGACTTTGGAGCGAGCGAGCTCGTTCGCTCTCACATCGGAAGAGATGCACGAGAATCCTTGGTCACTACTGGTAGGAAATCATGGTTCCCTGCGCAGCTGCTTGAGATTTCGTGTTTGGTTGGGGGATGGGGTGACCACAACTCTGAAGGTGTCATATATATATATATTATATACCAGGATCATCCAATGGGTGTCCAATAGACTACCCTACCCTACTTACAGGTCTGCATTGGGCACCCCTTAGAGGGTCCTGGTATATATCAAGTCAACTGTTTTGAACAGCTTTGGGTGAGGCTGAGGGCCGGAAAGGGCTCCAGCTTAAACAAGCGCAAGCCCTGCAGCACCATCCAGCACCCAACGTGCGCTCAGGTCGTGGATCACTGATAATCTCAGTCTGGGACGAGCCTTAGGATACTCAGCTTATACCTTTCGCCGGCTTTTAGTGGCTTGGTTTTGCAGACGTTTTACGGGAATTTCTTTGTTTTTTTTGGGGGGTGCATTTTTGCGGTAAAACATTTGGCACCAGTGGCCTGACATGGCTAGCTACCTGGTATTGAGATACCTGACATGTTTCTGGACATGGGCCCATGGGCAGAAAGATTGATTGATTCCGGGATCAATGTTTACCGCCAAGGCCTGACGGGTTAGTTTAGTAACCTCTGTGCTTGATGTTGACCCCTTGGGTGATGGACATGAAAGCTGAAAGCCATTGTTTTATTGAACTATAGTATTTTTTTTTGAAGTAGGGGTGCCCGTAACCCTCCAACAATGATGATGGACATGTTCTTGTGGGTGGCAGGGATGCGCGCTTGATGGTCCATGCTTCATGAGAGAAGTATGTCTAGGAGGTGATCATCTTGGAAACATTATTGTGCTTGAAAACACTTGAGCAAGCAGCACATGTGTTATTTTCCAATCACCATGTTGATGTCACCGGAATCCGGTACGCTCATTGTAGCACATTTAGGATGCAACCGAACTCACAGCACCCAGCTCGCCACCACCTCCACAAGGTGTTGTGGACACCCTTAGTTTTGAAGATGGCCTGAGGTCCCACACGTGTATAGAGATCCCTATGCTCCCGTGTTGGATACGGTGTACCTCAACAGATCTCAAACGCCGTTCTTTCATTCTGGCTTACTATGGCTTACTCATCTCCATGTCCCGATTCCCACTTGACTTGATCCGCCTGTTGAGGTCTTAGTCTCTTGTGTGCTGGGAGTCATGCAGAGACTTGGCCAGAGATTTTGTGGGTGGAGGCGTATTTGGTGGAAAGATTCGAGAAACTGGACCTTGACAAATGCGTTCTCCCAAGGGCGTTTGGGGCCCACGCATGTAAGCCTGCTCGCTCAAGCTTCTAGGCCTTTCCCACATGTAAGCTAGCTGTTTGGACGCTTCGTTTGCTGACGGTCTTGACTCATAATGTGTATTGTGTGTTTTTACCGTTCTTTTTTAAAGCTAACAAGGACAAGGTGCAAGGTGATGAGACTTGAGGGCCTGTGAGGCCTTGACCAGCCAAACGCGGGACCCACGGGTCGATGGAGGTTCACATCGCCCGGAATTGGCTGGTCGGAAGGAACGACGGGATGATATGGGTTGACATGCCAGCGAGTCTTTGGGAGGTTTTGCATATGTTTTTTTTTTTTTTTAAATGCACTACCCGGTTTTTTGACAAGGGGTAGGATGGTGCCCAGTGCGACGCAGGAGCCGATGTGAAGAGACAGACGGGATGTGCAACAGGAGCATTGCATGTCACCATTGTGATCTCACATCCGGAAAGAATCCAAGAGGAATGTCCCCTGAAAGGGGACAATACCATCCTTTTGCATCCTTTTGCATGATTAGCTCATGTAATGTAGACTGTTAATAAGACTCCCAACCAGAAGGGTCTTATATATGGGGGTGTGTATTTCAATTTGTTTTGGATGGTGTTGGTCTATATAGATATATGACATGATAATGTTCCTTCTTCCAGGGGGTTCTTTGGGGGTCTCCCTAACTATTCTATACACAGTAATGCGCCCTCATGTATGATGGGGGTATCAATGAACAGTCGTGGATCGCCGACATCAACGCCGACGAAGGTACGGCTTGGTACTCACCAATGGTGTCACGGTGAGCGACTTCAACAGTTACTACAACCTCACCACTTCGGAGGCCGAGAGCGAGGGCCACGGACGGTTCCTCCTGCCACGGATCGGTGGCACATCGAGTCAGCCCAGGAGAGCCGGCCAGTTCCCGAGAGTGTCGCTGGATCACCCCTCCAGCCCTCCAAAGGTTCTAGGGATGTTCAGGGTGTCAGATCACCCTGAAAATCCACGGGCCCTTCATAGCAGTGGTCTCAGATGATGCATGCGAGGGTCAGAGTCGCCCTCGATCTCAGTTTACCATAGTTTACCTGGGCGACATTCTTGACTGGAACAAGGGTTTCGGGCAGGACACGCTGAATCCTTTCAGCAACAAAAGCCGTGGGATGTTGCACGGAATCGTTATATGTGGACATGGACATGCCACTTTGCGCCAGGGGGATTTCCTATACGGCACCTTGGCAGATTGGCAGGGAGTTCCCTTTTTTCGTGAGGTTTTCACCGGGAACTCCCTGCGTCTCGTGCGTTCCACCCGGATTCCGCCGATTCCGCGGAAGAACGTGGAGGTTCTCCAAGGGTTGGCGCCAAAAAGGGTCCCCGAAAGCGGAACTCCCAGAGTCAATTTGAGTCATGTGTTTAAAAGCGCCTGATTGGTGTTTGACGGACGCACGTGGTGTCTTTCTGGAATCGCATTCTGTAACTACCTGGTTTGAAGTATTTCATAGAAAGAGCCACCTTGAGCCAGCAGTGTTTGTGAGGTTTGACCTGGTTTGACGGGTGAGGTTGTGGATGTTGGAGTGAGTAAAGTCTGGAAGATGGGCTTCAGGATGACATGATGGGGACACCTCAAATGATGCACTTGGAAGTGGAACCCCCCCCGGCCCGTGTCAAGGAAAGGAACGTATTTATATAGTCTTTCAAGTTGACCATTGTCAAGCTTCCCTGGATGGAAATCTGCCTCGCAAATTCAGCACTCCAATTCCAAGGGGGTTCGGAGACTCAGAGGGAACGCACAAACAGCGAACCTGCGCCTCCTCCTGCGCATCTCCAGTTCGAGCTGCGCACCTCCGCCAATGGTTGGACCGGCGGTTTGAACGGACCTCGCGACGGAACGACACCGGACGAAGCAGGCTGCATGAACTTTGGGGCTTGCGCGTTGTCCTTCGTGCCGGGGCTTTGCTATGACCGCTTGGGCTGCATCCCAGCCATGCTCTTGGGATCCTCGGAGAAAGGAGGGTGTTCTTTCGCCAGGGTATGACAGTCATGTGATGCGATGCACCCTCCGGAGCTGGATTGATGGCAGACACTGCATGGTCACATAGAGTTGGACATCTAACTAGTTGTAATACTGTTTTGAGATTATTTTAGGTACTGGATTTCCTTCGATTTCATCGCATTTGCTCACGAAGAGACTTGTGCTCCAGACCCGCTCTGGAGTCTATAGTGAAAAGATGACAGATAGATAGAGAGAGAGAGAGAGAGCGCGCACGCGCGCGCAATGAAATTAAGCACCACCACAGACAGGCAGGAGCCGAGACCACGACTCCAAGCTTTTTCCAGCGCTCTCATCATCAAAGAGCCCAATCAACATGATTTTTCCTGATCAGTATGATAGAACTCAGCACTATTGGTGACTCTTTGGAGCAACACTTTGCCATCGGATTTGTGATCATCAGTCTGTACGGTGGGACTATTGGAGGGCCTTTTCATTGCGTCGCTTGTGAGTTGGATGGTCTTCACTTCACTTCACTTACTTGTGAGCTGAACTCGGGGCGTTCCTCTCGGGGAACAAGGAACGCTGGTGGCAGACTGCGGAGTGCTGCTACAGCTGATTTGGACACCCACCTGGCCACAGTTCATCTCAACCATGGGGGGTTTGTCTTTCTGCGCCTCGCCTCAAAACACGGATGCGTTTGTGCATGGGTGAACGGTTTTTGCAGGGGGTGTTTTTTGGGGTGGGCAGGGGCCAGCGGTAGTGGATGCTGTGCACCAGATTGATAGCAAATCGCATTCGAGGGTGAAGGCTTCAAATTGGGCATGAGCGTGCATTGCCTGGTTTTCACTACTTTTAATATCTGTTAATGTCCCTTATATATTTGTGGTGGAGAAACTCCCCGGAAAGAAGGACGCCGTGAAGGACCACGATGAACCTTGGTTCCTTCGATTACTTGTTTGGGTTTGGGAGGTCGGTCAACCAAGGTCCTAGGGTCTTGGCTCATGGCAATCTCTCCCCCCAAAAAAACAGTGTTTGTCGTAGATGGGTTGAAAAAGCATGGGCACCAGCATGCAACAGCCATTTCGGCATGTTCTACCAGCTTGTTTTGCACAGCATGACAATGCCAGGGCAGGGGGTGGGACGCCATGGATGCCAACCCACATGCCCCGGGGCAAACAGCCTGCCAAACACACCACACCTTCCGTTCCCCAGAAAGCCAGACGACAGTCAACCATACGACGCAGCTAGGCTACACCTGCTTCGGTTTTGCTTCCACCTTCTTCAACGTCATCGGATCCTTTGCCCCCTTGGCGGCCTTCTCCGTGAAGTATGTGACCCGGACCGGAACCAGCGAGACACCGAGCTGACGGGCACATAGTCTATACGGGTGAACTCTCCCTGGACCAGAGATGTTGATGTTCAACTTGTACTTGGGATGAACAGTCACTGCCATGTCACTGCCCAGACGCGACCCTGGACCCGAACCTACGGAGGGATCGGACCCTCATGAAGGGGTCCGGACCCTCAAAACCCTATGGTTTTGAGGGACCCAAGGGCTGTTTGGAGCGTTTGGGTGACACGTTTCCTGAGTTGAAACCACGGGTTCGCAGTCAAGTGCGACTGCACGTGTCTCGTTGTGAGACGGAGGCGCTCGAACACACACGGCCCGTTCGCAGTCGGTGCTGTCCTTTCGAGGTAGATCCGACGATCCCATGGACTGACCGATGGACCTGTGCTTCTGAGTGTCTAAGAATGTTGGTTATATACTTCTTCCCCTGTAGGCGTCTCTTCAACCAAGCGGGTTTTGTTGGCTCATCTTTGAGAGTTATGCCATGTTATGCCTATGCCGGAGATTGCCCAAGTGCATGAGAGTTCCAATATGTTCGGAGCGCGTTCTTTTTTAAATGAGACATCCGATCGACAAGGGTAAACCTCGCACATGGGATATTGGAGCCATCCTTTTTCCAGAAGGACACTCCAGCATCACATCCTAGCGAGGTCATCGGCCAGTGGTACCATTTTCATTTTCACATGATGTTGAAGAAAGAAATTCCACACCACTTCTGATGCTCAACCATTTGCAGGGGCTTTTGGGTTCCTGGATTTATCAACATCAAGGATTTCTCGAGTGGTCAAGCTGGAGACAGCTGAAGTAGTGACGAGTGAAAGTCAGATTTGCACGAAGAGGAGCCCCTCTTAAGAGGCAAGGTCTCCCGTGGTCGAAGAAGATGCCGTGGACATACACTCCCTGAAACTACTTTCCTCTTACCAAGAGAAAGTTGTCCACTTCCATGATTGTTGCAGGGAGGGTAACCCATGACCACTTGGCACGGAGGAGACCTTTTTTGGGGTGACATAACACATGACCGAGACTTTGGTACTGATCATCGTCGACGGACGTTGGAGCCCACTCTCGGGATTTAGATGTCACTCTCCATCGATGCTGTCTATGGAGGTTTTGTTTTGCGATGTTTGCGGTATCAATAGGGCAAGGTGCAACATGTGATTTCCACCATGCTGACTTTGGTGGTAGGCCCCTGAGAATCTCGAAACTCCCTAAACAAATCAGAGATCTAGTTATAAAAACATTTCTCCCTGGGTTCCTTTCGATCACTTGTTGTGCCCCTTGTTGGGGTCTCCACACTGAACCTTGATTACCGAGGTGGGCAAAATCTCTGCTTGCATCCAGGTCTGTATGTCCCTAGGCCGGGAGACCAGCCAGAAAATCATTGCACAAGTAATGATGAGAAAGGTGACCAGCTGGATGCGGAAGACTAGGGTCGAATCCTGGCCCCTTTTGAGTGCAATCATTCCTCTATATATAAATTGCAGATATGTAGATGTATGTATTAAACTTAATATGTGATAAAATGTGTATATAATAATGTATATATATATATCATATTTATGCGCGTGCTACTTTGTTCGGAACATTTTTGCTGAACATGAGTGATCACCCAGCAGTATAGGCAGTCAAGGCTCAATGATGGAGCCTAATGTACCCACACACTTCCATCGGCTCAAACGCCCTTGTCGCACGACTTGGGGCGACCGCAGATCTTCAGACGCCGCACGGACGCAGGAACGCAGGAATTGCAGGGAACAGGTTGAAAAGAGTGTGAGACTCTTCATGCATCCTGAACCAGACTTGAGACTCACTATCAGCAAAGATTGGGGGATTTTGTGAGCTCCAGGGCTCACCGCAGCTGAAGCACGGAACCATCTAACGCAACACGCTTCAGTGCTCCATCCATTCAGCGGTCAGGCATCACGGTCCAGACGCAGGCCTATTATTTCCTGAAACAATTGGGCGGCGATCCGATTCAGAATTACTTGATCTATGCCCTTGTGCCTCAGCCCATTCGCTTCGCGAGCGGACGCGAGCGGACCCGATCTTTACGCATAGACCTATGTAGAAGCCACCTCTTTTTGATTGAAGCACCTCTTCATACTGGGGTCTTATGAATCGAATCAAGAATCTACATTAGGCACCGTGATCGTTCCCGCTTGAAGCCTTCTCCGCGCGAGTCCTCGAAACTGGATGGACATGAAATGATCGTGCAAATTGAAGGACTTCTTGACTTTTTTGTGTTACACTCATGGAATTAAACAGGGAAGTGTTTTAAAAAAAAAGTCCACCATGCTTGGTATTCGGTATCGTGGTCATGCTTTCGGGGCCATGTTCCACTTCCACAAATGCCAGGGAGTGCTTCCTGGCACTGATATTCAGAGTAATTACAGCGGTTTCATAGTAGATGGCACCGGCAACCCTACATGTATTTTAGACGGGGGTCCATGTAAATAAATATCGGTTGGGGAGTGTGCCATCTACTCTGAAACCACTGTAGATGATGACGCACTCCAAAGAGGTGTTTTTTTGTTCGATGGAGGTCCATTTTTGCAACAGCCTTGGGTATTTCAGGAATCTACTTCTACTCTCAATCCACTATATATAAGTGAAGAATGATCACGATTTCTGGGCAAGGTTCAAGGTTCCTTACATGTTTTTACAAACCATCATCATCCACCATCATATTCAGATTGAAGATGGCCGAGATTTGGTTTGCGGTAAATTGGATGCCATGGACACATGTTCAGACAGCATATGTTGAACGTCATTGCACCGAACAAGTGGAGTTTCAATGTCACCCCACTGTAGCTCGGATCTTCGCCCTCAACTTGTCTTCCAGGTTACCTTCAATCTCGTGGGCCTTTTAATGCCTCTCGCATGCACTTGGATTTTGTGTCGAATTTGGGGGCGCCGTGCACTTTGTGCGCAGGTCTAGTGATTTCAATCCTTGCACTAGGCATATCTTTCCTTGCTTCCTGAGGCTTCGCCAGGAGTCTTTATCCTGAGGCTGACCCTCACAGTGTGGCCACATGTCAACACCAGGGTCTAAAGCATTCTAAAGCCATATTGTAGCATCCGGAGGCTTGGATCTTTCTTTTCCTTGGAGCCAGGGTGGCTCAAGGTCCGCTCGGAACGGAGAGCCATCTCTTAATTCCGTCTGGTCGCCGAGTCGCTTTAGCTCCGTCTTCTATTTTGCTAAGAAGCTGCTCAAAAAGCAGGCAGGGAGACTCCCTATGTCACATACCGGATATGCTGCATGTGCTCAGATTTCACACATAGTGTAGACACAAAATGCAACTGGTGTAGCCCTTAATGAGTGTATAGCCTTTCAATGCTAAAGTATATTTCAAGTCAGTGCCTCCATCAAATTAAGTGTTTTTCCAGGGCATCAACGCGTAGCATTCGATGCCCAGGAATCCGACGAAGAAAATGCAGAGGTTTGCTCCACTGCATCAGCTGCAGAAACGTCTGCATCTTTAAGCCAATGTTTGCACCACGGCGGATGCAAGACTTCTGGGCGAGCTCAGTAGCTGTTTTCGGGTTGTGATGATCCACAGCTGGACCGAAGAGGGAGAGTATCCTAAATGATGAAGGATCCAAGATGGCAATGTTGTTTTTGGATTCAACTCTTTGATGATGTCGATCATCCATGTCCATCCAACATTCATATATTAAGTTATATAAGCATCCCTAAGCTGTTTTTTTCTCCGAGGTCGTTCATGCAAAAATTCATGTGAGTGGGGTGTGCAGATGAAAATGCTGTCTCCTAGGTACAGCGTGGATTTTGCCTACATGTTCTTGCTCTTTTGCAGTGCCATTGGTTTTAGCTTCAGCTCCTTGATTGTCACCGGACGGGGGGAGCGGAATCACACCTACTCTCTGGGCGAAGCTGCGAAACCGGGGGAGCTGCTTCAAGGAGTTTTCGTAGGGAACGCACCTGCAGATCCGGGACACATATGCGGACCTGGAGACAGAGCTTTTCTCAGACCAGAATTGGGTACAATAGAAGGGTCCACCATGGAGTTCCTTCCACTGGAAGTGAGAGAAAGGATGCCTGAAATCCACTCCCGCAGATGCTGTCAATGCCGTTTTGAAACCAACTTGAGATGACAACCGATTGAAACATGCTCGAAATCAACCGAATCAATCAGGTGCGAGTTTCACCTCGCATCACGCAAACCTGTTTGCGCTTCAACTCCTTCCCCTCCCAGAAAGACCGTTTCTGAGTAGAACCCCGACCGCGATGGGTCGCCGCCAGGCTTCCTGAATTGCCTGGGCCGTTTGGCGGCGGAGGCCTCGGTCAGCGGGACGGAGCTCTCCAGCGTCTTCGGTCTTGTGAACGCCCCTCGACCGCGACCGCCACTGACCGAGGCGGTCACGTGGAGTTGGAGGGCAGTGGGAGTGGTTCCAAGTAGGCCTTCTTTCGGTGACCGCCTGAGAGGTGACCGCTAGATCCACTGTAAGTCATGAACAGACCCCAAGAGCCAGCGAAAGATAGGCCTTTGGGGTGTCAAAACTAATGATTGAGGGGTCAAAGGGGGGGCTGGGGTCGGGCCTGCTTAGGCCTTTGGACGTTTGTTGGTGTGCTTGCCCCTGGACTACACGCGTGCCTTGCTTGCACTTGTAAAACACCACTGTTCCGTGTTGAGGCATGAGCAGAGAGTGAGAGAGTCTCACTCTCACAGAGTGTGTATGTGATGTGATGTGATGTGATGTTTGTTTTTTGTCTCTCTGTCTTTGTCTTTGTCTGTCTGTCTGTTTGTTTGTCTATTGGCTTGTATCTAATTGCGCTCTCCCACGAGGAGTCTTCACAGTGTGTGCCCGTGTGTTTTTGTGCATCGCCTGGACTCATAGTCCTCATACTATAGGGAGCCTCTGGGACTGTTCTTTTCCTTGTTGAACTACAAAGCAGGGTGATTATCGCGGGATGTGGGTCTTGGCGCGGCCAGTCCCGTGTACCTGCTTCGGTTGTGAGAGTTGTAACTATTATCCGCTTGTAAAGGTGATAGGCTGTTTAGGTTTCCAGGCCCGCAGTCATGCATTATGTGTTTTACTTAGGCATATGTTTGTCACCTAGGCTTCTTCGTGGCTTGGGGCATTCAGATCATATGCATATCTCGAGTGTGTGTGAACAGCCAGGGAACTACTATCAGAAGTTTCCTGCCGGCCTGAGCCTTTGACTTGAGGGGATGGCTTTCTTGTGCCAAAGTATGCCCTGAGGAACCTATGGACGATCATGCAACCGTTCTCCTCATCCTCCTTGAGTTCAGATGGGAAACATCACAGAAACCTCCCGCTTTTTTCGGGGGCCATTGTTCCCACGAGTTGACTCCACCCGTTTCCATGAAGAGATTCACTGTGATGATTCCTTTGGCCAAGAAGGACATGCAGACATGCTGGTTGATTCCCAAAGCTACTGAGGCCGGGGTGTTTGCCAGTAACCTTTGACATCTTTTGACCATTCCCAGATGTTGGACATGGTCCTGAAATGTCCTGAATCTATGTAAAATACGTGTGATATGAGATAGCGGTCCTAAAAGCATTTCACCCATCGTGCACCAGCATAAGGGTGAGTGATCCGGCTTCGTACCGGCATTTGCGGTCACACGGTCGGCCGTTTGGGCGGATATACAACGACAAGGCTCCCAGACATCTTCCTCACTTCAGCTACGCACGGTGGACATGGTGAACCCAGGGCTTATTGTGACATTTCTGTGAAGTTTCTGCAAATCGTAGTCATGTTCCCTTATCACCAGTGCTCTAAGTCAACTAGGTTTCATATGGTTTCACAGACTAAGGCAACTACCGATGGGGCGGCATTTATGTCGCTGGGCATGACATGCTATACACGTGGGTTTGCTGCGCTGCAGTTCTTTTGCAAAGCAAACAACAATGAATGCACCGCGAAGGGCGATGGATGACACCGACATGTGCTCAGGTGAAAGCCAAATATCCTTGACACTTCATGTACGGCATATTTATACCTACATTGGCGTTTATTTGGCTCGATGTAATATAGTAGAGGTATATACTGTATATATATATATTTACTCATTCCACGCGTGGAGTGTTTAAGTAAAAAGAGGATCTCCAGGAAGGTGTAGGAAGAACCAGGGCTTTGGAGCTGATCAAACCAACAGGTTAGGGCAACAATGGTCTCCAAGTGGTTTGTATGGGGAACATGGGAACAGTAACCGGTAACAATACAGAAACAACAAGAAACCCTGGATGCAGTTGAGTAGTTCGGTCCAGCATATTTTAGCACAGTGTTGTTTTGCTTCCGTTCCTTTGATATCCTTTGGTCTCAGAGTCTCAAAGGCCCGGGTGAGGGCAACATCAGCACCTCACTGTCCGAACGTGGAGCAGCAATAACCTAGTGGTGAAGTCGGCGTGTGTGTGTGTGTGTGTGTGTGTGTGTCCACCCCTGGACAAAGGGTTTCCTTCGACCACTCCAATCAGGCAGGGGCGTGTGGCCTTCTTGTCCTACCACACGCAATGAAGCTGTGGACAAGAAGGGGAAGCAGGGACTGATCATCCCTGTGTACCTGCACCTTCAACTGTTGACCAAGCTTTTCCACTCTCGATTTGATTCATGGTGGTTTCCATGGGACTTTCCCCACCAACAGGTTTCCCACAGCCACTTTTGCAGCTGAGTTGCGCCGCTTCGTCACTGCAGTCAAGGGAAACAGCTTTTGTTCAAACACCTACAATTGTCTCAGACTTTCCGCCATGCTGTTCCACCGCCTTTCTTCCCAACGTGACAATTGCGTTAACTGAAAACCAGTGTCAGAGTGTGTTTCGCTCAGCCGTCCCACTCGGGTGCTGAGTGTGATCCCCGTCACTGGGGCGCCGATGTTGCATGGGAAAGCAACAACCACAAAGCACCACCACTCACTGGACTTTCACAGGAAGTCACCGACACCCTCACCGAATCAACTGACATACTGGCCGCCGGGCCAAAAAAACGGTTTTTGTGGAATACATCAGATATCAGTTTTCAGATTTCGGATCCGTCATGTTCATTCATACTTGACGGCTAAGTATTCACATGCCTGCGCTGCTAAGTATTCACAGGCCGGATGAATTCATAATTCATCATGCACAACCCCCCCCCCCCGGGAAACAGAAG